CTGATTGTCTACCTGATGATAGCACTGCTGGAGTTTCCCTTCCTTGAATTAAACATACTGCTCTTCATCAGTCCTGTGGTTCCTTTTCTCCTGTTTGTTTTCTCAAGAAGCAAACCCTAGGGTTTCTCTTGAGCAATCCCAAATATATATGAGTGTATTTATGTATATACTGATAAATTATTCTGGCAAATCAGTGTAATCTTGCAGGTGCAAGTTTAGGCATGTTGCATTTTCTCATTTAGGCATGTTGCATTTCTCATTGAGCAAGTGATGCATTTGAATAAAATGCCTCTGTCTTATTCTAAACAGAATCTTACATCATGACTGACAACATTTGTTAGCATGATGACTGAGTCAAATATGCTGAACACGGACACTTTATTGCACAACAATATCTTAACTTATTGCAGTGGCCTGTCATGTGTTCTTACTTTCAGCCAAGTTACACTTTCCTGCAATAATGGAATGAACAAAGAACCTGCACTTGGGATACACTTACAAACATTAATATACATCTGAGATCTTTTGGCTTGATTCCTCTTGATAGGACAAGAGGTCTCCATGTTATTCTTGCTTTACCTGGATATGCTTTTTCCAATGATTTTGTGGGATTTCATTATTCTTTTGCATTTCACATTCTTTTTTATGTTTTGCAAAATGAACTACTTCTGAAAATGCAAATGAAGAAACTTCTGTCTCTCTCAAGATATACTAAAAGTGAAGAGTTAAAATGATTTTCCATAGTCTGTTTTGTTTTTTTTAATCCAGAAGGTTAAATGTAATTTTAACAATTAGGTCCAGCAAGAAATGGCTGAAGCTTTAGGAATGGAGGATATCTTCTCTGTTTACACACACCAAAATTTCTAAGATCTAGACAAACCCTTATTTTTTTTTTTATGCTCAAACAGTTAGGACATGGAGTAGCACATTTAATTTGGCTAAAAGTCCTTTCTTTTCCAGCTTCTTACACATATCTCAAGTCTGTCAGTGTAAAGGACATAATACTGTAACGAGTCTTTCTCAAGGCTGCCCTTTAGCTTAAGACAGTCCTTGGCTGCTGGAGAGCTTTCTGCCCCAAAATATTTATCTGTTCCTTCTGTCACCACAGACCTGCATGCCAGCACAGGTGGGAACTGAAGAAGTTTTCCGACTTTCCTGTTAAACTTTTCATACAAAACCCATTAAGATTTCTGTGCAGATGAGGGTAGAGAGGGGACCTGTTGAAGTGGGTATGCTTCTTTTAATCTTGTCTGCAATACAATCAGATTTTTCTATTGATCTTTGATCTGAAGTACAAAACGTCCCGTAAGCCACGGGAATTCAATGTATCTATTGAATTATCTGTCTATCTAGCAACAGTAGAGTCAATTTTTAGAAATACATATTCGCTTACTGTATCATTTTAATTATATTATATGAGTATCTGACATATATCTTTGGTTTTCAGAAGTTTGTAGGAAATCTTGTCTTCACAGGTATATGGACAGTGCAGTTACTTTTCTACTCTGGAGTTAAATTTTATCCTCAACACTTATATGATCTCAGTTCCTCCTACTGATGTTACTGAAAGTCTTTAACTTCAGTGGGAGTTTGATCAGGCCCTAAAGAAAGTTGGCATCAGCCACAAAAGCCAACAAAGGACCATGTCTAAGGAGAAATTCAATCAAAATATCCCTCTTCATGAATCAGAAAAGACACAATGGAAATACTTGAAGAAACTAGCTAAAATTATGTAATTAAATATATAATATCTCAGGCAACAGAAATTTATACACTTCTAGATTATTTCTTTTATTTATTCTTTGTACAACGGAACTTAGCAAAGGTGATGCACCCCTGTAATTATAAGTGAATAACATTTTTACTGTAGGTTATAACAGAAATTTTTCCAGTAGTGAAACTCTCGTGAGTCACAAAGCCAGAAAAAGTAGAACCTTCCAAAATTTAGTCTCCCCCATTTGATTTCAAAGTTCCCAGAAGGCTAAAAATTAACTCCCCAGTATGCTCCAGGGCTCAGCTTTCCTGGCTCTTCACAGAAATTTCCACTCAGGATATTCTCTGAAGAGCGCTCAAACAATTGTTTGTGGCTACGTTCACCTGGATATTTAAGAATATTTTGCCTTGTGGGTAACATGTGTACAAGTAAAGAGACTTTGGATTTCACCACTCTTAAACTTCCAGCACCATCCCAGAGGGTCTGTTGTGCTCAGGCCTCTTTGTTCTCCATCATGACACATCCTGACATGTGTAGAATACTCACCACACCACAAAACCTCTCTGGTGGCAAACCATAATGCAGCCATTCTACCATTCCAGACATTTTCACCTGAAGAAGTGAACTCCAAAATCGCAGTATGATATAGGCATGGACCCTCTGGGGCACATGGGAGGGCTGTGAGGTGACCAAGGAAAATTACTTAATTTGTGTGTTAAGAGTGCAGTTAACCTGCTCCAGCAGCAGCCAGGTGTGGAAAGCATAGATGATAACTAGATGGCTGCACTTCACCTAGAGGACAGAGGTTATTGTCTGGACTGGACTTCAAGTTTTCCAGATGGTGATCAACAGGCACAACGACTGATTGCATGAATTTTTGATTTATTTACTGTGATAATAAGGTAGTTCAATTTTTAGAGCTTGCTGAATTGTATGCTTCCTTAGCAAGTTGATGGTTGATGTAAATGAGGACTAGGAAGCATTTTTCCTCTTGGAGGTTTTCAAATTATTTTCTGTGTAAACAGGAGCTGATTTTCCTATATTCATGAGCAGAAAATAACAGTGAAGTCATTGTTTGAGAGCCGCAAATGTACAGCAACAACAGTGCAAATGCTGTATGACATTCTGGATACTGAAATCTAGAGGCCTTTTGTGATAACCAAGATGTCTCCCATTGGTGCTTGATTTATTATTTACATCGATTTGGGGAATGAGGCCTTGGGAGGTTGAAATATAATTATCCAGTTACTTGTTCATAGTAGGGGGGGGAGGGGGTGGGGTGAGAAGAAAAGACAAAAATCTCCCACAGGGAACAGAACAATATTTTAAACAAATAATTTGAAAAAATATTTCCTTAATTTTCAGTGAACACTGACATTCATAGAATCACTCAGTAAGAGCATAAGAACTGTTTGAGAAGGAAGTTTAGATAAATAGCTGATTTGATATTTCAGTGTGTGTTCTTGCCTGTTCTTGTTTTTGAGTACAAGGGGATTAAATGGAGAAACAGAATATTGTTCTGGGAGGGGCAGAGAGCAATAAATGGTAGAACATTGTAATGTCTCAGCAGTAATTTCTTGAGATCAGTTATATCAGCAGTAATGTGGAATAGTTTGCATCCTGTTATTGCTTATGTAAGAAAGAAGAGCTATTCTTCAAAGATATGAGAGCACCATCTGTGGCAATAATGTGGGAACGAAACTCGTGAGAAGACATCATGTTTCCATCTGTTTTCAGAGGGCCTTAAACAATGGCCAAATCCACCAGCAAGCTTCTGCTGTGTGAACTTGTGAAGTGGTTGAGAAAGTTTTACGGCTTCTGCCTCTGAACTTATGCATGCAGGTCCAGAACGAGTGTCTGTCAAGAGGAGCTGCCTCTGCACACGGATGTGTCGGCACTGGAGGGCACAGGCAGCATCAAAGGTCTGCTGCGGCAGCCGCCTTTCATGTTGGTCATGTACAAGATCCTGTATGTGCTGAAGCAGGGAGCAAGCTCAATTCTTTGTCGAAGTCTTCCATTTCCGAATGTTGGCTTCAGGGTGTTTTAGATATTTTAGGGTGTTCAGAGATTGTAAAGAATAAAATGTGATAGTACCAAGTTATCTTCTTGTGGTACCTTTATCTATTTTTGTGTCAGTAAGTTGTCTTGCGGCACTTACGATGTTTTTTCCCAAAAAGTCATACTTTCCCCAGCCTGTCTAACTGGGTAGTTTAACACCAACCTGTGCAGTTGTTTTTTATGCTCACTTTGCTGTCTCACTCACTGTAATGTTGACTTTCAGGGAATCTCAGGAAGGCATACCTTTTTTAGGGACCAAGTTTGGCTAAAGAGTAGCAGAGACTAACTGTGGAATGGCAAGGACATTTATCCCTGGTATTCATTAGTCTGGCAATTATATATTATTTTGGTATTATGGTCATTGCTTGATAATCGAATGAAAATGAAATAGTTTTTTTTTTTTTTTTCCTCATGAAAATGAACTCAGAATTTCAACAGACCCTGAAGTCCAGTGCTTTTGGCTAACTCTGGGATTTACCTGCATCCTGGCTGAATATCTGTCAAGTGTAACAGGACTTTGGAGGAGATTGCAGATAATTTCTGGAGTATGTCTTCTTTTAAAAGCCCATTATTTTTTCAGTAGTCTTTGTTGATACATCTTACTGTAGCTAGGCACTCCTTTAAATTAGTGCCTGTGAGCCAGTGAGTGAAATCCTCCTTGGAGATGCCAGTTTATCATCCTGGAGAGCATCACCCCAGCCCAGCATCCAGGAGGGGTACACTGTGAGTTCCAGCACAGTGGTTCTGCATCAGCAGGAGATTTCTCTCATGCAGGGGAAATCCTCAGGAGAGAGATAGAGAAAGGATTTGAATGCGGAATCACCTGTGTATCCTTGGGAGACTGGTGTGAGAAGCTTGCTGTGTTCTCCCGTGGGGCAGACTGTCCCAGCTATCCCAGCCATTGCATCAGAACAGGGCTTCTCTGGTTTGCTCAGCTGGGGGCATGAAATAAAATTTCATTTTTGTTTTATTAGAAACTATACATCTGTGGTTTTCACCTATAAAACTCACTGACAATAAACAGTTCTGACTAGAAGGTATGCATGTTTTATCTAGTAAATCCAAAGTGAAGTTTTTAAAAAATGTAGTTTCAAGTGAATGAGAAGAAGAATAAATGGTAATATTGTGGTCTTGTAAAGGTAAGAGTGAAAAAGAAAGAAAGAAAGGGTGAAATATTACAAAAGGCTTATGCCATTTTCTCTTCCTTTTTCAGGATATATGAGGGGAAAAAAACCTGGGCAAAAGAGTACTTAGAAACAAAGAAAAACTTACATGAAATACCCTTACAGACTAATGGGAATGAACCTCTTGTGATTTTAAATGTATTCCAGTACTATGCTAACACATGCAAAGGATGAAGGAAGCAACTTACAAATGGAGAGAGTGTCAAATTCTCAAATCAAGACAGAATAATTCATCCTAAGAGGTAATTTATACCGACTAAGCTGTCTGAGGCTTTGGAGATCAGCTTTTGGCATGTGTTTCTCTACAGCTTGCACAGTGGACCACAACATGCTATATAGATGATTCATGGGCTGGAGACTTTCTGCACATGCAGGGTCCAAGGTGGGTTGGCTCAGCTACAGAACAATTTTTAAAATTCCTTTGCACCTTATGTCTTTGGCTTCTTTTCTGTGGTTTCTAACTCCTACTTCTCAATAGCTGAACAAGATATTAACAGGATAAATTACTCACTCATAGCATTTAGGCAAATTGCAGGAGAGATGTGACTTATGAAAACAATTGTGTCTCTTAGATGCTTAGGCACCAGCTATAATGCTGGTAAAGATGACACTAACAATACCAATAATGAGAATATGTTGCCACTAAATAGACAGCAACCACGTCTTTATTTACTTTCAAAGCTGTGCTTTGCCAGTACTGCCTGTTCCCTCTCTTTCCTGTAAAAAAATTTGGGGGAAGGGAAGAGGGGAGAGGGGGGAAGAAAAAAGTTAAAGCCAGAAAATGCAGAGAGGATTCTGGCCAAGATGAACACAGAGAGGCAAATAGTGTTGTGACTCTTTCCTGTTGTCAAGGGTACAAGTGAACAATAGGAAACTTTCAAAAATAATATTTTTAATTTTAAAAAATATTTTTAATGAATGAAAAATAATTTAAATAGTTCATATAACTTTTCAGAAAGACTTTAGTAACTCTTTGGATTAGTGGTATTAAAAATCAGATGGAAAAAAATAACAGTATCCCTTTATACCAGTAAAAGCAGTGGCTGAACTTTTAAAAGCTTGCTGCCATTAAAGTCTGCAGTGTTTGAAATATATAATAAGCTTATGATGATAATTCTCCATCCACTGCAGCTCTTTCTTTTTTTAATCCTTTTTTGCTTTCCCTGACTGTTTGACCTTCCGAATGATGCTAAAATTTATGGGAAGGTCAAAAAGTCACAGGGGTCCATATGAGACAAAGAAAGATGAATATAGGATATCTAGGCAAAATCAATGATTTCTAAAGGCTACTTCATACTGAGCAAAACACACCAGGGCTGTTTATAAGAAGGGCAGATGGAAGTTTGCTTTACACATATTAAAGGTGCTTTTTATACTCTTATGGGGAAAAAAACTTTGTTTGCAAGCTTCACATTCCAGGACCTTAAAACCAAATGCCAAGACTTTTCAGATCTGCCAAGTTCAAAATCTAAGATTTCAGGTCCACTTGCCAGATCACATTTTCCATTTGGCAGCAGCATTCTCTCCAGCCCTGCCAGTAGCTGGCCCCTGAGATGCCTCCTTATGAGGTGTGGGATTTAATTTAAATTTTTGTTTTTTTCAAACATTATTGTTCTGTGAACATGAAAGTCCAGAATTTCAAGATAAACCCAGGCTGAGCAGAACCCATTCTTTCCTGCTGAAATGTCTCCAAGAGAGAGCCTGCTTTGAGAAAAACTTGGAAATGATATCTGACATAGCCAAGGGAGTTTATTTGCTACCTGCAGTGATATTTCTTAGTGAATACACATTTGTCAGGGGAATCCTGTTTCTGTGCTTAGTGCAGAATTTTTTTATTAGTTTTCTAACTGTGCATACTTAATTCCCCTTTCTGTTAATGAGAGTTTAATGTGCTCTTTGAAATGAAGAAAAAAATTCTATGCAACTGATAAAACAGAGCTTAAAGAGGTAGGGTGACAACACTTGAGAAGGGGGAAAACAGCTTCCTGGCTGTGAGTTTAATGCTTTTCTGCAACAGGAGTCAAACTGTAGAAAATTGGTGATGGTGTGGGTTGGTTTTTTTTCTTTTGGCCTTTTTTTCTATGAAAACAGTACTTGAAAGGGAGAAAAAATAGGGGTGGTGTGGTAAAAGAACCATGAATTTTAACTACTTGCAATGTGTGAGCCATGGAGTGGTTCCCTAAAATAAATAAAGTAAAGCTAGTCAAAACAGGATAATGGAAAAAGTGGGCTGCATAAATTGTACAGACACTTTGTCAGAGCTCATCCCATTTCTGTTATGTTTTCATTTTGATGAAAAATCAAATCTGACCTTTCAGGCCAGACCTGGATAATTTAAATGTTTTTCCTTGTTGTGATGCCCTCTAGAAGTCCGTTCATTCAAACTTCAAGGAAATTTTGTGGCAACAAATCATGATGACATACTTATTCTTGCAATTCCCCTTGTCCACCCTTAGAGAAGATCCATGACTTAGCATATGAAGTGGATTACCTTTCACCCCAATTAATGTTTTTATAATGAGTACCAAAGGAAGTAATAATGTTTTGCCACTTATTATCGAGTGTTACTGGGGCAATCTCTGAAACTCAAGACTCAGGTCATTGACAGCACTGACATGATGGCAATCACGTTGCTGAGGTTTAAGCCCTGCTTCAGTGATGAATAAATTGGTCAATTTAATTTCCAGTACTATCAGTTTGATGCTTTGAGTAACAGAATGAGATAGATAGAAATGTCCAGGGGTTTTGAAGATTTGGCAGGGGTTAGACTTATAATTTCATCCACTCCTGAACCTATTCAAATGTTAATTTAAAGAGAAACAATGAAGTAATAAAATAAGGAATTATAGTTGTGTTTTGTCTGGGAGCTAGAACTACATAATTTTTAACTACAGTGATAAATATTTTTTATACTATATATGATAAGACATGATATTTTACAATTAATTATATTTTACAACTTGTCAGTAAGTTGATTATATTGCACAGCTTTTTAACTGGCAAAATTCAGTTGCATTGGTTTTAAAGAATGAGAACCATCTGAGATGTTATTGAACAGCCTGATCCTACCCCACTTTCACTATCTTTTAAAACAGTGTGGTAATGCTTAAATGTACTTTAGAATGCCAGACAAAGAAGGAAAGGCATTTGATAGTTGCCTGATAGAAATAATGCTTCTAGGTTGTTCCTTGGTTTTCTCATATAGGGAAAATTGGGCTGTTTTTATGTTTTAATCAAAAGAGAAATGACTTGCATAGATCTTTAGCAAGGGGACACACTGGCTTACCAATAAACCTTGAGTTATAGTGGCTGATAGCACTGCAGGACCATGCACATACCATTAATATGAAGAATTCTCTTCTTACAATGCATATTTCTTTCTTTTTTCTTATTGAAATGATAAAAAGTTATTTCTACCAACAGCCAGTTCCACCCTACCTGAGGATAGCTTTCTACAAGACCTAAATAAAGACAGAGAGTGGATGGACAACTGTCTATGTATGTGTGTGTTTTATGACTTTTCTCCCATTCTCCTGGGTAATAATGCCATTCAATACTGTCCATTCATTTCTCAGCACCATCTTTATGTTAGAGAAGTAATTTATGCCTTCTCCATTGAAAAAGCTTCATTAATCACTTTTTCTCAAGATGATTGAGCAAAAATGTATTGAATGTCCTCCCATAGGGAAAATCTATGGGAGGCTTGGATAAAACAGGAAAACCTGTGTAGGGGTGGGTATTGGGTCACATTAATTGACAGAAAGGAGTCTTTGGGAGAGGAAAGAGTTCCCACCAGTCCCTGTGCTACAGACTATTCTTAATTACTATCTGGGAAGCGCTTGCCTGGCATTTGGGATCCTGGTGAGCACTGCAGCTGCCTTTGACTGCCCTCTGGTATGGGTGAGACCCAGGCTGCAGCAAAAGGCTTCCCTGCAGCACAGAGATTCCCTGGAACATGGAGAGACTGGAGCCACAGTGTTCCTCAAATGGTTGGTAGACCTGTGATATGCCAGGACTGACAATGTAAGCCCTTATTTGTCTCATCCAGCTGGCTAAGAATAGGTACAGATTTTCGTCTCCATGTTTCAGTTTCCTTCCCTATAAAAAGTAACATTTACTTTGTCTCTTAATATTTTCACGCACTTTTAATTATTTGACTTCAGAAATATTTTTGCATTGATAACACTAAATAGAAAGATTGTGTAAATGCAAAACACTGTTGTTGCAAAATGTCTCATCTTGAAGAGGTTATTTCAAGGATGACAGTTGTAAAATTTCAATATCAGTTAAAAATTAGTTATTTATTTACACTAATGTGCTGTCCTCATGCATAAACAATCACAAGGAGAAGAGTGGTTTTCTCCATGGCTGCATGTGGAAGTGTGACACACCACCTCTTTAGTGCGTGTCTTTATGTGTGTCTTTGTGTCTGTCTGTGTCAGAGCAAGGCTTTGAGGAGTTGACCACCTTTGTGCCCATCTGGAAGTTCATCTGGAAGTTCATACACATTGATTTTTCCAGAGCAGGGAAGGGGGCATGACTGCATGTTCTTGTGAGCAAAACCAGAGGAAACTGAGTCAGGACGATTTTAGGAAACTACTGTTGACACTGGCATTTTAAAGCCTCAGCCTTCACAGATACATAGTGCATCTGAAGCCCTATGGGCAAATTTCTGTTCCTTTCTGTCCTGCGTAATTAACAACTTGGGCTCAGTTCTTTGGTTCTCTAAGAGTTTTTCAGGTCTCTGAAATCCATCCAGCTTCACAGACCTGCTTCCTACCTGTGCTCATATCAGAAAAGTTGCCGAAACAGCTGGGGGATGCATTATCTATTTATTTATTCATTACAAATGCTTCTTTGACCTGGTGAAATCTGGTGAGCTGGAAAAGCCTTTCTTGTCACTCATGTTACCTCTTATCCTCCGCAGGAGTCGCAGCGGATTTAAAGGTCATTTGAAATGCAGCCTTTTGCTCTTTGACAGCCCTTTCAATATCAGCCTCCAGTTCTGTTTTACAAAGTCATCATTATTAACTGCGTCTGTGGCTACTGCTATTTTCCTGGGTTTGCAGAGAAACCTGAGATACTAATTGCAATGAGCTAATTTGGCAATACCATGCAAACTTCCTTAAGGCATTAGTTAAGAATATACTTCCCTTTACACAAAGAGAATTTGAAAGTGGGAACAGACTGCAAATGCAGCAGAAGGTATGCTTTTGTACTCCTATACTTAAGAGTAGATGGTATAATTAGCTTACAATGGTAGTTGAATGTATCTCTCAGAATGAGAACATACAGAATTAAACAGTAGCTTTAGCCTAATGATAATCGGTGATAATGATGATAATAATAACAGTACTTAGAACTTTAATGCAGAGATTTGCATCCTGAAAGTGCTATGCTAAACATTGACTTAATTACTGTCACCTCTTCGGGGAAGGTAGGTATTATTGCCCTGACTTAATAGACAGGGAAATAGAGATATAAGAGAATGAAATGACTTGCCAAGGGCTCTGCAAGAGCCTGTAAAGGGATTCAAACTTTACGGGTCCCTTTACTCTATGTTCCCTTATACCAGGATAATTATGCACGTTGTAGGGTTGCTCTGTGCTTTTGAAACTTGAGCCAAAGCCTTTTGAAATTAGAACTGTGTGTAACATATTTTGAAGGCTGTACTTTTCAATCATATTTGAATATGATTTTCCCTTTTAGGTCAACCTGAAACATATAGTTGGAGGCAAAAGTTTCAGTTTTGGTTTTAGATATATATATATTTATTAATCCTTTTAGTAAAAATCTTGTAAAAGAAAGGTCAAAATTTTGTACAGGGTCATTCAAGAAACAGAAGAAATTTTTCTCAAATTGCTTCATTATTAGTTGTGGAAGGATGTGTTTCTGTGGCCTGAAGATTTTTGCCGAATTCCAAATTTACTAAAGCTGTCTCTGACATGCAAATTGTATATTTTTTTGAGTTTGTATCTTGTAGACATATTTTGCCTGGTTCTTATTAAAATCACTGTGAATCTTCCTGCCTCAATTATTTCTCCTCACAGAAGGACTGGAGATCAGCCCCGTGATTTGATTACTTGCAGAATATATGGGGAGTAAAATGGTATGATGTTAACATAAACAGTTTTCTGACCACAGCCACGAGTTAAGGTGATGATGAGATTCTGTAAGAGGAATTGTATTCTGTAAGTATGAAGTGAAAACATCAGCTTTTAGCTATAATTATTTCCCTGTGTAAAAGGCATTAACACCAGACTACAGGAATGAATTTTGCTTTGACTGCACTCACTGTGCTTTTAGCATAGATCTTGTAGGTGCTGCAGTTCTGGTTAATTAAGTCTGAGTCGTAGTTCACTTTGATAAGAAATGTAGTTCTGTATCTGTAAAGCATAAGGCAATAAAAGATGTCAACATCTGCATTTGTAGGATTTAGCAGGAGCTTTTGATAATTGTTTTCTCTGGCTCCTGCCTTCTGTCACCTTTGCTGAATGGCAGATCAGCACACACAAGCTCACAGGCATTTAAAAACTGGATGCACTGAGTGCCTTTCTGTGGACAGGGTGAAGTGTCCCTCTGCACTGGCAGCTGGTGTCACATTTATGTGTTTCAGTACCTACGATGCACGTGGGCACTTGCTGGTGCTCAGAAGAGAGATGACACCCGTAGGTAACAGCTTCATGTAGCATTATTGATTTTTGCATTGTACCAGACGCCGTTCCTGGCTCTGTGAATCCCTTGCGGAGCCTCTCCTGGTAGCTGAACTAAAGCTTCAGACAGCTTTTGTAGATGAACTTGAGGAATGCTTTGGCTGTTTCCCTGTTTCCAGAACAAGGTATTTGAATTCATTCAGCTAATCAAAACAAAGACTTATATCCTACAGGCTTTAACTGGGGTATTCATTAAATGCTTTTGCTTTTTTTTAAAAAAATGCTTTTGCTTTTTTTCTTTGTAATGTCACGACAGAACACAGCAGCAAAAATTAGAAACATTGAGAAAACAGTGGTCACACTTTCTGAAAGACTACCTTTGTATTTTCTTTCAACAGACTTTTTACACTGAAAGCCAAATGTTTTTCTAACATTCACAGTTTTCCAGTCAGGTTAAATGTAAAGAAACTATTTCTATAAAGGTGAAATAATAGGCCATAAGAGAAGGAGTGGCTAGTCACACAGGTCAAGGTGTTTTGTTTTTTTTTAATTGAATTTTTGTTTTCAACAAATTCCTTTGAATGGATAATACCAGCTAAAAATATTCATAGGCATTATTTAGCAAATAATTTCAATGAAGTGCAAGAGAACCACTGTCTAACAATAAGCTAACAGAATGTGCAATCTTTCATATAATTAATAAGAATTATTCTCTTCTCTAATAAAACTAAGTGGCTTTTAGGGAGGTGGAGTATGAATGGAACATTAAATTTGCTTCGTCCTGGCAGTCCATATTAGAATATCAGAGATGAGTGGTTATCTGCACATAGTTTAACAGACTCCCAGCTTTGAGGAGTACTAAATAAGAGGCGAGACTTAATGGAGTGGAATAAGAAATATGGACCTGAAAATGAGACTGTGCTGTATTATATGTTGATCACACAAGGTGGCAGAATGAGCTTAGGGCTACCCCAGAAATAAGAGGCAGTGAAGCACCATTGCTTTCAGTCCAGAGTGTATCCTTGCTTGCCCTAGGAGTATGCCAAGTTGCATTTGCACATGGAGAGGGATGGAGGAAGTATTTTAATACAGTATTTTTTGATGATTACCCAAGTGATTCAATTTCATTTAGAGATTTAGTGGAAACTGTTAAAAGCTTGTGTCTAACTTTGGAAATTAATAATCATATAATGCTGAATCTGTGCACATCTTCAGTTTTATTGAAAATACAGTTTACTCTCTATTGATACATTGATTCTCTAAGTGGGGCTGAACTCTTCAGATGAAGGACAGCAGCAAGAACAGGCACGTAGGGAACATTTTGCCTTTCTTTATTGATTTATGGCTAAATTCACTTCTATTGTGAGTGAGTGAAACTATTGACTTTCCTTGTGTTGCATTTACTTATATGCTCTGCCTGAGCATGGTAGGCAGGTGTATGTGGCTGAAATGAGGGCAGCTCAAACAGGATAAATTGAAATGCAAGACAAAGAGAAGGGTACACTCTTCAGCAACCTCCATGCTACTGCTTTGGCCAATAAGTAGGGAAATAGTAGCAACACTTTCCACACCTGTACAGCTGCCTCGAGTGCTGAGCCTGTTGTTCTAATGCTCACTTTGAGGGGCAGCACTGACCTGTATCACCAAAGGAACCTTTGGATGCAGGTTGCTGGTGGGCTGCTATGTGTGCTCACTCAGTTTGCCTCTGTGGAGCTCCAAGACAGACAAGTGGTGCCCCAAAATGATGGAGAGCTTCAGCTCTGATAAGGGACTCCTTCCTGTCTTCCCGACCTGAGTTGTACCAATAAAGCATAAAAGCAGGGGCAGTGCTAAGCACAATTAGTGGTTGCTTGAAGAAAGAGATATGTCCTTGTAGGGTGCATTTTAAACATATCTGGCAACATATTCTTGCACCTGAGTTTGCTCCTGCCTGTAAATGAGCGAAGTAACTGAGCAGGATGCTCTTACAAGTAAGGGTTTTAGAACTCATATCTGTGCATCGCTCCTTTTGCAGTATATTTCTGGAAGCTCATTAGACGCTATTAAAGATTATTCACCCTTCCAACCTTTTCAGCAGATGTTCAGCTGTTTGTTTTTTCCTTCACTGCCTTAAGATATTTGGCTAAGCATTAGTACAAGACTGGAACAGGTCAGGAAAGTATTTATTTCCCAGAAAAATAAATTAACTAGTAACATAGATGGCAATTAATAAAATAAGTCATCTGTAACATATTAATGAGAGGTGGAAAATAAAAATTGAAAGTTTGAAATGTAAAGCTAAAGCAGCCACTAAAATGACATTTCTCTTTCTACAGAGAGAAGGTTTCAAAATAATAAAGAAGGAAAGGAAGAACCAAGGAAAAAAGGTAAAGAAAAAATAAATTCTGAGTTCTGGAAAACTCCTTTTGCCTTTGCTGCATTTGTCTTTGACCAGTTGGCCATCAGGGGAGCTGCAGTCTGTGAGGCTCATGAGACTTCTTGAATGACTTATGGTCATGTCTGAGAGAGTTTTATTTTGGCCCACACCTTAATGCTGAGGTTCAGCATTAAGAGAGAGCTCCCTGATCCCTTTTTATTGTGTCCAGCTCATTCCACAGCCACGGCGAGGCTTTCAGTTCTTAGGTTTGGTTTCTCAGCTGAGCTTCATCATTTGTGTGACATTTTTTCCACTGCCCAGTGCAAAACCAGGGAGGTTATTTTTAATTGTCAGTGGTTTTAACTAACCTGCTTGAATGTACACTGCACAGGCTTGAGTCACTCACAGCCTAGATGAGGTGACTGAGGGGAGACAGCTTCTCAAAATGCCTCTCTGCCGTGACTGCCTGCGAGTCCTCCCTCTGTTCAGTACAGTCAGGCTTTAACAACCTAAACCACTGCAGGGGATGCTTTGAGTTAAACTGCTAGCCTTGCACAGAAATGGGCAAAAATCCCTTATACCAGCTCTTTACCACCTCAGTCACTAATTACTGCCTTTCAGTCTGATCTGTCTTGTGGCAGCCTGCTGCCATTGATGGAGTGTCCTAAGAGAGCCGGAGTTCCTCAGAGCAAGTGAGCCCAGTGCTGTGGGGTGGCACAGGGTGCTGGTGGGGATGGCTGTGGAGCTGGGGCACAGGGCTGGGCTAGCACAGGCATTTTGGGAGCCACCTCACAGCATTCCATTCGCATGGTCCAATGCTGCAGTGCAGTGTGAGAGATAGGACAGCAAGACTGAATATACACACGTAATAGGCAGCAATCTTTATATATATATATATAAAACAAGTAATTATTTCATGTCTGAAAAGGCATAGGAAGCTGTCTGCACTCTGAGAGTAGCTTGGCAGTGAGACAGCCATAACTGAACCAGAGCAGAAATGCAGAGCTCTTCTCCTAAGAGCTGTTGATGTGGGGCAGCTCCCTTTGTCACTTTCTAAAATAATTTCACAAAGTAATGTCTGCGTATTGGTTAAATAAGTAGAAACTGGCTGAGTTTCAATCAATGTCTAACAGTCTCAGCAGCCTTAGCCAGTGCCCCCGGAAAGCAGAAAGCAAGCAGAGGCTGAGAGAAAAATACTGGGAGAGCTGGCACTGACAGCAGTGTGGAGTGTCAAATTAATAATGGCAGTGACACAGATGCTCACATAGATGCCATCCTGTTAAATGCAGGTGTCAGTCACACCTGCACAGCACACATGGAAGCAGAACACACTCCCTGGACATGTATGCACATATGTATCCACAGGTACATACATGTGCTATCACAGCATAGTGGTGGGTGGATAAACAAAGCAGATAGGGGGAGAACATGCTGCAGGGTTCATGTGGTCACTGAAAATGTTCTCATTTGAGTGTGCTGCTGAAAAGCTTGCAGGCCAAATGCATATGGATGACTCCAGTGTCTGGAAAAACATGCTGTGGGACTGCTGTATTGTACTTGAAGCTACAGACAGTCCCTGACAGCCTTTGTGAAGTGATATGAAGCTAAATGCCTGTGAGAATGAGGAGGTAATTTTGTTGATTAATGCCAGTCTTGTTGGTATTGATGATTTAGCTGCCTGTATGAAACAAATGTGGGCAATCAGTTCATCTTGAAAAAACTTGTACAACTGAATAAAGGAAGTTGTTGCCTAATCTATTTTGTACTAATTGCTTCATGCCACAAATTCAAGGCCTGATCCAATATGAATTGACATGGAGGAGAGATAGTCTATTCTCTGCAGTAGTCTTTGGATCCAGGCTTCATTTTAAAGCGAGCAAATACTGCGTGCTAAATTAGCATTCATCTGAGTTGTCACTATCTGTTTCTTGAGAAGCAGACAGGCTTGATATTCTCTGTGTAGCCAAATGAGTCTTAGCACTTACACGCTGGATTGCAAGGCAGCAGAGCCAACCTGAGCACAACAAAGTTTTGGTGAGAGCTGGGGCACCGTGGGCTGCTGCGTGTGACAGACTGCCTCGGCTGGGTGTCTGACATGGAGCTCTCGCTGCTGCGCTGCCTTACAGAGTCATTTACACCAACAAACACTTAGTGCTTATGAGGCATTTTTCAAAAATCTCACTGGGGCCATACCTGGGGCTTTAGCTATTTAAACATCTTAAAAAAATCTGTCCCTTGAGAGGATTTAACTCAGCAGGATTTAGGCTGCTAAGGCTCGCATCATCAAAGAGACCAAAGCGTCAATCCATCTCTTTTCACGCCTAAGGACATAATAGTATCATGCCCTCTCCCATGAGGGGGTACTGCAGAGAAATTTCCAAGCTCTCAGCACCCAAACTAGCTAGCTCTGGAAGCAGATGGAGTATAATTATAGCAGCGTTGAGCTGCACCTGAACTAATTAGCTCTGCTGAGAAACAGGGATTGAATTTAATAATGCATGTTCTGCCATACCAAAAAAGGCTAGGCTGCCTTTGAGACCTGTGTGACTGACTCTGCATGGTGCTGTGCTGAACTCTGTGGATGTAGTGTGAAAGTCAGCTCAAAGCTTTTCTGTCACCATAATCTGCTGCAGAATGTAGGCATCACCTTGTCCCAGCATTCATGTACCATTGGAATAATTACTCCTCAGCTGTCACTTATCTCCTGACTATTAGTTTAGCATGTTATGTTTTGCATATACTCAAGATTTTGCTGTCCAAACTCACCTAAATATTGAGATCTACTTCAAGGACTGCTGTGGCTAAAACCTTGAAGCCTTCAAAATCGGGCTGTCTTTGCTATGGACCTGATATTACCAGCATGGTCTCATCTATTACCAGCATGCTCAAAGAAAATGTAGCTGTGAGAGAAAGGTAGAAGAGCCAGGTTCAGATTCCTGCTCTGGAGCAGTGATACCTATCAGATGTGGAGTTGAACACCCATCTTAGATACATTTCCTAGTCACTGGGGTTAAAGACACTCTTCCTTACCTCAGTCCTTTGCATATCAAATAATTTCTATGAGGAGGGGAAACTCTTGTGTTGGTGTCTGAGAGAATTTTCCTACCCTAGAGAATACTGACTGTTGGGATTCTGTCTTGGGGTGCTGGTTTGAACTCAAGCTCAGGCTGTGGTTTGGTCAGAAGGAGCAGTTGGACTCCGTTCTCCACACTATCACAAGGTGATCTAACCCCAAAGCTCTCATTTCTCTGGGGCTACCATTACATCTTTAAAAATGTAGATCTGGTGTTTTGTATCATACAAGTGGCTGAGATTATTTAGGAGCTTAATAGCTCTAAACAGAGACTTTGTCTGTCTGGACACATATGAGCACCATTCCTTTTACCTGAAATTTATCTGTTTCTAGTGTGATCCATACACTGCTCAGCAGGTTTCTGTTGCCTCCATACTTATATGCCTATCCACAGAAAAATTGTGTGAATATTGTAAGAGGTGTGTTTAGGACTATAACGAAGATGTTGTATTGCTTAATTCTGTTAAGTCTCTTTACTACTTGGGGTGTACAAATGGAAACTGGTCCTTTGAATTACTTGAAGTCTTTTGAAAATTTAAGCCATGTTCAGAACATTTGATGTTTTTTTTAATGTAGTAAGTACATTAAGACAAAGTTAATGACTCTGTGTGGTGCAGACAATATACTGCAACTACTGGATCACACAAATCTAGATGTAAATTTTTCAATTGCTTCCTCAATTTTGTAAAATGCAGACTTCAATGATTTGAGCCAAAGGAGATACTTGGTTGCTACTGATGCATCTTGCCAGGTCTGCTGTTGCAGAGAGAAGTAGGTCTCTTATCAGAAACCCAAAATACTTTTGACTTTGTATTGAAACAATTCTTTTTCCTGCCATTTTGTTGATAGGGTCTGAAATAAAATCCCTTAACTAGTAAATGATCTTATTTAGGAGACTTGCAATACCTGTGTTGAAACCAGGTGCCTGTGCAGGAAACACATTTCTTCTCCTCTTTCTCTATTTGCTCTTCAATATATTTGGCTTGAATAACTTTTTTCTGAAAATATCAGTGGCAAGTGGATGAGCAGGGGCAGTAGAAGTAATAAGGGGAAAGGGAGAGATGCAGGAAGAAGAGATGCAGGAAGAAGAGAGACAGGAAGGAAAACTCAAAATCTGAGCTCCTCTTCACCCTTCTCCTGGCATAGCACCAATGCAGTCTGCCTCTTCTACATGGAGAGGAGTAGAAGTGCAACCTCTCCCTAAGTAATTAAATGAATACTTAACCTGCAGGTTCAAAACTTACAGCATATTATAAAACAATTAAGTTTCCTTTGCATGAAAAAGCTGAATTGCCACTCAGCTTCTTTTGTCATCTGTATGCATGAGTTTGGAGCAATTAGCATGAATATATTACAGGTGCAGTGTCTCAGGAAATTGCAAGAAGCTGTGCTGTATTTTTGTACTATAGAGAAGTGACAGAGCTATAACTTTGGAAGAGTTGAAAAGTGGGGAGATGTGAGAAAAGTGGGATTTTATAATCATAACAAGCACCGATAGCCATCCATTTAATAGTCATGAAATGAAATGCTGTATTTTCTTAGATTGTTCCACTACTCATTTAATTTAACTGGACACTAAAAACTATTTAATTTTAGATTTTAGATTATCTTTCTAATGTGCCCAGTTTATCCTTTTAACTGCAGATAAAGTTTTTTTTGAAGGGTAACAGCAGTGGTATTATGTTAGCTTTGATGTTATCTCCAGACAACTTCTTATGACAGTGAAACACCTTTTTGCATGTTCTTTAAGATAAATTATCTAGCAATTTAAAAGTCCTGAATTTTGTTTGGTACAGTTTTGTCACATTTAATTGTTCATGTAAAACTGATTTTTTCCCTGACTCTCAAATGCAATTTAATTTTTAAGTGCAGGTTCCTCATAAATTCAGATGAGCACAGTAAGATAAATGCTTCCTAAATCCAAATCTCAAAGTGACATTAATGGTGACCTTTTTTTTTTTTAATTAGAGTGATAGTGATTCAGATCTGCTGAGGATCTCACCCTTAGAGTTACCTGACCTGATAATATTTTTTGCTGATGCTCCATTTATATGAGTACAACAGAGGGACCTCAAAGACTACAGCAATTACTCATATATGGTTTGATGCCCTTTTTTTCCACCACCGAGGCTCAAGGGAACAACTGTGGTAATAAGATTCATATCCACCATTTTACCATCATGAAATCACAGATTTGATGAATGATACTGATGTGGAACTTTGCCTTCTTTGCAGGTATGAAAGGAAAAATTAATCCTGGGGTCTTCAAAACAGAACACAGTGACCTCAGTCAAAACTCTTTGCACATAGAAAAAAATCCTGAAAACCAGTGTTGCACACAGAGAATGACACATGGACATGTTTGGGAAGTGGCAAAGGAGGAGAAAATGTGAGTAACAGATCAAAAAAGCAGTCTTCAGGTAGTCAGCATGGTGGGTCATCTCACAGTGTTTCCACAAACATGACAACATCAGTGACTCTCCCTTACTTTCAGCTGCAGGGACACATCTGCATTTTAGTGGAGTGGGAGGAGGTAAAAGAGCTTACTCTGAAATGGAAATAGAAGGAGAAGGATATCACATAGAACGAATTCTGAGAGCAAGAAAGACTTGTGACAGGTTAAAGATTATGTGTTCTGCAGATAGCAATCCTAGAGGCACAGTGGCTTGGTGGCTTTTTATATGATAATAAGACCTGTACTAAAGGCCAGTGTTGTCCTGCATGATGCACCAATGTTTTAGTGCTAGTTTGGATGCTGATTTCCTATTCAGGAAACTTTCAACTCCACTCTAAAGTAACAATGTCAATAGAAAACACATTTTTCCATATAATCTTTACCTGAGAGCCCCCCAACACCTGTTGTGTTTTTTGTATGGTTTATAAATTAAAAGTGTTTGTGCACCCCAAGGCACCACCTCACTCCTCTGTCTCTGGGTTCTCTGTGTGGGTCTATAGCTAAAGTGGTAACACCTGTCCTATATTTCAAGTGTAACAGGAGGCCTTTTGAGCAAACTATCATTTACAAAAGAGCTAGAAATTGCACAGCCTCTGTGGCTCTGGGAAAACCTAATGGAGTTGTAGACTAATCCCCTCACCATTGCTCCACAGAGCATGGAGAGCAAATTCCCACACTTCTAAGGAAGAAGTAAATGTTCTCAGAGGGAAACCTCAGACAATTTTTCTCTTTTCCTCCCTCTTGGGTAGAGTTTTCTATGGGAATGACTGAGGATTGACCCTATGGAAAAAAGAATTCGAGAATACTTATTATAAAATTGATTTTATTTCCTTGTCATTGCGAAGTTGTTCCCTGTAGCATGTTCTCTAATGATTTATCCAGAAGTTTCAAGAGTTGTAAGTACCAGTGGTTCTGTATTTCCCTGGCCTGTCTCACTGACAGATGGCACAGAGATGGGGATTGCAAGACACAGCAGGGACAAAAAGAGAGATAGTCAAATAAGATAAAGACGATTTTTTTTTTTTTTTTTTTTACTGTAGGAGAAAACTGCTTGGAAAGATCAGGAGTGAGACCAGCAGCATTTGCTGTGTATATTCTGAGTGAAATAGAAATTGTATTTGAGATCTAGGCTATGTTTAAAGACAATGAAATTTGCCTCAGACACAAGTCCCAACACTTTTATCATTATCTCCCTTTAAATCTATTTCACTCTTTTCTTGTAGTATTTTTGCACAAATGAAAGAAGAGCTTCTGGGTCCTCCTCTCTTCCCCCTGTTCTCTTTTTGATGCCTCCCTCCATGCAAACCTCTGCACACTTCTAGGAAGGTGGATGCAAAGTGCTGAAGCAACACAAGGTGTGATGTTCTTGAGAAGTCTCTGGTCTCCTGAGCAGCTTCTTGTGAGATTTACAACTCCAAAAGATTGACTATAAATAAATAAAACCTTTCAACACCTTCTAGCTCCTGGGAAACAAAGTCCAAAAGATACTGAGTTTTGCTTACCACTTCCTCCTGTCAGGGTTACAGGAGGGTTTGCTCTCTATTCAGTCCTGTCATGCCACCTGCCTCTTGCATTCTGTCTCCAGCAACCACAGCAACATCTTGTCTCATCTGCTACTCATCCATCCAATATATCAGTGCATGGTAATGTAATGCTTGAGGATAATACCCTGGTGTATCTTCTGACTTCTACATATGAGATTTGGTGTTTGCTACTTCTTTTTCTATTTGATATTGACTCTAGAAATTCTTACACAGACAGCAAATGCAGTTGTGAATTCAATCTTCAGATTTCTCTTTTTCTTAGGGCACCTCTTTTCCTTAATTGCTTTTGCTTTGTTTGTTCAAATTAAATATTTATTGCATTTTAAAGAAGAATGAACTTTTGGGACAAGATAATAAAGGATTTATCTGATGATAAAACATGTAAATCTTTCCAGAAACTTCAGGAGGATTTTAATATTAATGCAGATCAAATATGGAAATATATGCAACTTGTGAATAGTTTTATAGAAACAGGAAGAGCTGTGGTGTCAGTGTAGGAATAATCCTTATTAGGATGACTTTCTGATATTGATAAGACAGGAATACAGGATCTCATTTTTTTCTCTTGCTTAAATCTCTTCATTCTTTTGTAAAAGTTCAGAAAAGAATGACAAGTCCTTTTCTTTTTTAGGTTTTAATAAACTGCTGAATAAGTAATTACAGAAGAAACTACAGGGAACAAGTTTGTTGTGACAAGGAAAGAAAATTGATTGTCTAACAAGTCCTCTCAGTTTCTAATAACCAGGGGGTCAATCAGCAGTCCCACACTATAGAAAAAAAATATAAATTATAGATAATTAGTATTTGGCTGGTTGACTATTTTGAAAAGCATAGCTGTCCCCCATGATAAGGTGCCCTTAGGATAACTCCTCCCTTTACTTCTCTTTATATGAAGTATGAGGGACTACTACTTAATATTCCTAATTTAATAAAACATAGTTATGAAGTTAATTTTTAAACTACTTAATTTTTAAAAATTCTCATTTACTCTTTCCAAATCATTGAAACCATAGAATCTACTTAACAGCAAAAAACACCAGAATTTTTAAGTTTGGAGAAAAGTGAGAGGAGGAAATCAAGAGGTAAGATATGGGTGAATTCTCTACACAGCAATATTCTCAGTATTCTTTAAAAGTTTTAGAATTCCTTTCAAGAGTGAATCATGATAGAAGTATTGAAATCTCATAACCATTAAGGACGACCACTGAACTGGGGGATATTGACATTCCTGCTTCATGCCTAAACAGATTATTCCCTTTTGGCATTTTCTGATCACCATGTTTATCACAGTGAAATCCCAGTTTGATTTGGCTTTCCCATGTGCTCATAGTTTGTTCCAATCAATTTAATGAGTGGGCATGATTGGAGAGGTTTGTGGTTGTAAAATACACAAGATCAAGGAATTTATAAAATAAGGCAGGGTTTTCAGAAGGTCCTCAAAGACCTAAGTCCTTTGCAGTGTGAAGTTCAGGGTTCCGGTAATCAGAAATATGCTTAGTGCAGAGAATTGCAGGGCAGTCACAGAATGCCCTGAGTTGCAAGGAACCTTAAGGATCATTTACTTCCAACTCCTGTGCCATAGTAGGGACACCTTTCACTAGATCAGGTTGCCCAAAGCCCCATCCAATCTGGCCTTGAACACTTCCAGGGATGGGGCATCCACAACTCCTCTGGGCAACTAGTTCCAGTTCCTCACCACCCTCACAGTAAATAATTTCTTTCTAATATCTAATCTAATCCTGCCCTCTTTTAGTGTAAAGCCATTTTTCCCTTGTTCTATCACTACATGTCCTTGTGATTAGTCCTTCTGCTGCTTTCTTGTAGTCCCCTTTATGGACTGGAAGGCTGCTGTAAGGTCTTCTTGAAGCCTTCTTTTTTCCAGGCTGAGCAACCCCAACTCTTTCAGTCTGACTTTATAGGAGGAGTGTTGCAGCCCTCTGATCACTGTAGTAGCCCTCCTCTGAAGCTGTCTAACAGGTCGGATGCTCCAGAGTTGGATGCAGTAATCCAGGTGGAATCTCAGGAGAGTGCAATAAAGGAAAGGGTCACTCTACAGAGATTCTGCCCTTCAGTGTTGTGTCTCTTTACAGATTGTGTTCCCTAGCATGAAATCTTCCAAGATTCATTGTCGTGTTTAGAAGCATGGAATAGCTGGTGCATAGCCCAGAGATCCAGAGACCACCTTTTTCTTCTAACACCCTCAGTAATCTATCTGTTCTCAGGCTTAACATTACCATATTGAATAAGTTTTCAAATTTGCCCAACATGATGATTTTGCAAGGCTACATATGAAACTCATTTGCGCTGCCCTCTGAAGTAATTCTGAAAACACCCTGCTCCCATTCATCATTCAGCATGCAGGTTTTTTTCACTTACTGTGTTCTAGGATGTGCTCTCAGCTAACTAGTGAAAAACCTCTGTAGGAGGTTTTGCTCATTAGAGAAGCGATTTAATGCTAAAGAAATATTTTGCTTTCTATTTTAAAATGTCTTTTTGAATAAATAGTGTACAGATTTTCCTGAGATGTGCTTTGAGCTGCTTGGAAAATGAAGAACAGAGCCTTTCACTAAAATTAATGGGAAAGTTCAGTGAAATTTGGATTAGACTCCAATGATAAAGCAATCTGAAACAGAAACATCATTAAAAGATACTCGTAATGGAACTGTGAGCTTATTTGTCTGAAAAACAGCTTGCGAGGTAATAAGTAATGAATTACTGCTAAGAAGTGCATCTGTCTCTTAAGAGAAAAATGTCTTGTGGAATGCATTGTACATCTGTACTGATGAAATTATTAAAATGAGTACCTTTGAGATAGGAGTATATGTCATGAAGATGACCAAGCAAACATTGGATTAGGGGGCTTTTATGCTAATTAAATGATGGACACACAGAAAAGAGATAAATTGTTAATATATGCTAAACACAAAAAATCTAGAAGACCATCTGATTCATTCTATCAGAGAGAAAACATATCTGTTTAATTAAGGGCAGTAATATTGTATGCATGCTTGCAAGCAGTGATATGGTAGCTAATCTAGCTTTTCCTGAGGTGCACTCTGTCTTTTTAGTGCTTAAATTTTAGCCTTAAGATTCCCCTAATGTTGCTGTTTGTATGGGATTGTTTCTCTGTTGCTGGCACATAACCGATTCCCTGAGAGATAGATGCACCTCCAAGTAGCAACTGCTTGTCAGGAAGACAGTTTTTCATACCTGGCTTTAATGCAGACCTTTATTTTACAGACAGGTTTCTCAGAGGCTCGCGCTGTCTTATTTTTAATGACTAAAAAAAAAATAAGCTGGATGAGTGGGAAATGCTGTCATGCAGGCGTTCCAGATGAGACTGGGACAACATCGCATTTGAATAACCACCCGACGGATCCGTCAAGCTGAGCTGAGACATTCCTCAGCAGCCTCGGCTCAAAATCCAGCCCTGGGATGGAGGGTGAGACGCAGGAGTGCCCGCAGCCTGCGTGTGCCTTGGCTCCTCTCTGCAGTGCTGCTGCCTGGGAGAGCGCTGGCGTTGGCAGGGCGGCGTCCCACAGAGGAGCTCAATTGTGCCTTTGCTGTACTGCAGAAACATATGGCTCAACGCCTACAGGAAAGTATCAGGGACGGAATCTTGCAGCAGTAACATAAACATTATTTTGCATGAAGTAAAATCAATATTTGTTGTCTGAGCATCTTCCCAGGGTTTCAAAGCCAAGTGTTGGTAGATTTCACTAAGTTTGGGGTATTTGTTTCCATTTGCTTCCCAGGCAACATTTGTTTTTACGGGGAAGCTGCAATTTTCAGGGTTGTGTTTGTGGACCACCCCTGGGCGTACATACGGACTGGGGAATGCAGTCCCATGAGAGGGACCTGGGGGTTCTGGCAAGTTGGACATGAGCCAGCAGTGCTATGGCAGCCAGGAGGGCCAAGCGTGTCCTCAGAGGCATCAGACACAGCATCACCAGCTGGGCAAGGGAGGGGATTGTCCTGCTCTGCACTGGGGCAGCCTCACCTTAAGTGCCGGGGGCAGTTTTGGGTGACACAACACATAAAAGACATTAAACCATTGGGGACCTTAATGGCCTCCTCCAAAGGAGGGCCATGAGGATGGTGAAAGGTTGGAGGTGAAGTTGCATGAGGAGCTGCTGAGGTCACTTGGTCAGTTTAGTCCAGAGGAGACTGAGGAGAGACCTCACTCACTGCTGTCACAACTTCCTTGTGAGGGGAAGAGGAGGGACAGGCACTGATCTCTTCTCTGTGGTCCCCAGTGACAGGACCCAAGGGAATGGCCAGAAATTGTGTCAGGGGACGTTTAGGTTGGGTATTAGAAAAAGGTTCTTAACCCAGAAGAGTGGTTGAGCACTGGAACACGCTCATCAGGGAAGTGGTCACTGTACCAAGCCTTACAGAGCTTGAGAGATATTTGGATGATGCTCTTTGGCACATGGTGTGACTTGTGGGGATGGTGCTGTGCAGGGCCATGAGTAGGACTCAATGATCCTTGTGTGTTCCTTTCAACTCAACATATTCTGTGATTCTGTGATACAAATTTTGCTCCTAATCGTTGCCCATATAAAATGTTGGGCTGATGGATATCTGCCCCATAGAAATTCAAGTGCCAAAAATTCAAAGCAAAGCTGGCGCCTTCCTTACAAAGCTCTCTCCCCTTTTTTTTTTTTCATTTGAGTATATCTCTGTAAGACCAAGGAAGGCTCCCAGAAGCTTTGCAGTGGTAAACTTGTATTAGTAGTGACTACTGATCCCAGAGATGTGAATTATGAAATTGGGGCACATTGCACCAAAATTAATTGTTATTTTCGTTTTAAATGTCCACATCTCAAAAAGAAAAATTCTTGGTATGGAACAACTTACATGAGTAAGTGAACCTTGGTGTGGGTCCCATGGAAGAGGTCAGAGAGCTGCTCTTGGTGGTGAACTGTCACCAACAAAGCAGCCAAAGTGATCTGATTCTCTGTGCTTGAGCCACACATGTTTTCCCAAACAGATTAGCACTGATTAGCAATGAATTACCAAGCGTGAAATGAGTTTCTTGGCTTCTAGCCACTGGACACATAGAAAGAATGTGTCTGCAGGAAGAGGAAAATGAGTATCCACGGCTGAATAAAACACTTGGATGTATTTGTTGTTGCAGGCTATTGCCAGCTCAGAACAAGAGTAGTCATTGCCAGTTAAATAAAACACCTCTCTCCTAACAGTAAGCATATTGCTTACTAAAAACAGGATCTTTTAAATAATGTCTTTCTGCTTATCTATGGTCTTTGAATATATTTTTTGCTGAATAGGAGCACAGTATTTGAGCAGTTCTGTCATGCATAAGCAATCTGCTCTTTAGACAGTGATGCTTACTTAAAATGCTGATGTTGATGATGCTGAAAACGTGGGGTGAGGGAAAACTCAAGTCCCATCTTGAAGAGGCTTGCTTCTTTAAGAGAAGGTAAAAGATGAGTTAATCACTAAGCAGCAATTTAGAGCACAAGTAAGAATTTGGAGTACTTTTAAGAGAGATATTAATAAAAACCCACTTGTTTCTGGCAATTGAAAAAGAGGGAAATTGGCCCACCTGATTATGAAGAAGAAAATCAGTGAGATGGTTGGTCTGTTAGGCTGTGGCCTCTGCTCTGAAATAAAAGGACTCTTGCCTTATTTCACTGATAACAGGATGAGGGTGTGAGGCTTCTCTTTGCCAGCAAGAACATGCAAACTGCATCCTCAGCCCTTCAGCCAGTTTGTGTTAGTAATTCCATCCTCAGCCCTTCAGCCAGTTTGTGTTAGTAATTCTAAGCAGTCTGATGCTAGGCACAGTATCTCCACAGTTAACAGGTGCATTATTACTTCAATTATCTTTAACTACTAGGCATGCTGTGATACTAGGCATTGAGAGATTCAAATATACAGTAGGCCCGATAAAAACTGTTTGTCTTGAATAGATTCAAATGCTTGGGTTTTTTCTGCATAGAAGAGCTAATGTTTGTTATTAGTTTGCTACTTATAATCTTGGCTATACAGGCTAATTAATTTGCCAGAAGTCTTATAGTTGACACCTGAAAAAAAAAAGTAAAAATATAGATGATGTCCTACATTTGCTTACCAAAAGGAGACAGATATTTTTAAAAGGGAAAAAAATCCAATGTTTTTAACTGTTGTATGAAACTAGATAAAAAGTAGATAAAAACCTAATTCCTATGTATTGAACAGAAAGGTGAATATTTATTTCTAATTTTTGCATCTGTACTTGCACTCTAATGCAAGTACTTGCACTCTAATGAGGAAAAGGAGGGGAAACTCGTTATTCAATACTTTACTTTTTCAAAAATAATTTTCCTTTTCCTTTTGTCTTTTGGAAGCAGGCATTGTAACAGAAATCTTACTGAATTGCCCAAATTTCAAACCAAAATTTTCTGGTAAACTAATGAATATAATCTAGCACACATTCACACATCTCTGTTTCTTCTCTTTATATATTCATTTTCTATGGCTGCCTTCTTTTCCACTTCCCAAATATTTTCCTTTCTTGGTTGTATTTTTTTTTTTATCCCCCCTTTGGTTTGAAGCTGCTCAAAGTGTGTGTCAGTAGTATTAACTCCCATCTTAAAATTCCAGCCTCCTGATGTCTAGTTTTTAAAAGCAATGGACTAATGAGAAAAAGATGCTGGATTCAGCTTTTTCTTTATTCCTCACTGTGAATCCTAAGCCATGTGATGCACTGTGCATGCTGGCTTTACTGTAAGATTCTCAGACACTTACTGTACTGGTAGGATGTTTCCAGACAAATACATATCTTGCAGGTGTAGCACTGTTTTCTCAGAGGTTTCCTGAAGGGTTATACAGAGCATCCATGTTGGGCAATGCACCAATGTTCAGATGTTTTCGAGGCATTCAGATATCAGTGGTTAGTCCTCACTTGCCTTTAAGCGAATACATTCCAAGGAATTTGTCATCTCTCTGTTTTCAGCAATATTATAAACACAGCCTTGCATGGATCTCTTGGCATAGGAGGGTGTACTTGGAGCAGTGTGTTCATTGAAGATTTTTTTTCACTCTTCAGCCTTGTGTGGATCTTTAACGACCTGCTATATGCTTCCTCTTTCTCTAATCTTCTGAGAGAGTCAGCAGGCACAAACTGTACTGAGAAAATTATACTATACCACATTCTGAAACTGTAGGTTTGATTTCAGCCTGTCTGGTGGGACTGCTGCTAAAAGTCAGCATCTAAAGGAGCAGCTCATTTGAATTCTGGATGTACACACAAGTTAATACGAATGTGCTCAGAAACTGAAGGCTGATATATCAAAGCCACCGTTCAACACCACCTCAGGAATGTTCCTAATAGTGCAACCATTTTTTCCTTTCACTTCTGTCAAATTTATCAATGTCTGATGTCACTCTTTCACAAAGAGGCAGCCTATTAATATGTATAAAGTAAAAATAAAAGTTCATCCCTATGCATTAACATTTACTCATGGCAATTATGCCTGAGCTTATTAAATTCATATGTCCCCCTCTTTTTCTTTCTTTCCATTCCAACCCTACAGAAAGTAGTACCAGATCTATTTTTATTTTTCTTTATGTGTGTGTACCCCTGTATGTGTATTTTTATGTGCATTATCTATACATCTCTATATATACTTCAGCACTGCGGACTGAATAAATTTACCCACTTTTGTATCTTACTGCTTGAGCATTTCCCAAGAAAACTAATGACTGCTTACCTGGAGCTGGACTGAGTTATTAGACAGGCACATAACTGTACTGCCCCAGGAAGTATTCATGAAAGGAATTGGACCTGAGAGCAGGAGTTTGTCCTGCCTCTCCCTCCTCGTTTGTGAAGTGAAAAGGTAATTTGCACTTCTCCTTTTTTCACGTACCTTTTTCTGGTGCCTGTTGATTTTCCTGTGCATTGGGGCAGCATGTAAGAGAGGGAACCAAGCAGCTTTCACCTCTCACCCCCTCTCTTGGCGCCACAGTCCGTCTCTGCTGAGCCCAGATGATCGCTGTAGCCCGGGGATGTCCCTGTGCCAGGCTCTGCCAGAGAAGGGGCAATTTGATCTCTGCATAGAGACAGCCATGAGGTTTAATGCTGCATGCTTCCTTGTGTGAAATGTTTGCCTAGATTCTCCCCAAGAGGATCATCTCCTTGTCCCTGACCCTTTGCTGCTTCCTGCAGGGTGGGATGGGGCTGCATGCCCTCAGTGCCAGGCATTTGGCTGTCCCTCTGTGGGGTTAGGACACAAGGGTGGGTGAAGGGAGAGCGTGCAGGATCTCACAGGGTGTGTGTCTGCACTCTCCCCGCCTGCAGCTGGAGGATGCTATGGCACAAGTTGGGGCTTGCACTAGTTTTGGTGGAAACCAAGTTTAAGCCACTGAATGAGGAACTTTGGTGAAGAGGCCATGTGTAGGGTGAAATTTTGCTGCAAATTCAGGGAGCGCCTCAAGGTAGGTTCCCACAAAGGGGTTGTAAGTCCAATTCACATTCTTGGATTGATGCAGCCTGCAAACACCCTCCTTCAGCTGGGCTGGCCACTTTCTGAGGGACTGGAGCAGGTGAAGTGAGAACATGAGGGTCAAAAGATAGAGGGAGATTATATCCTAATGCTATGTAATTTTCCAGACTGCTCCTCTGGCAGGGATATTATAACACAATTAAACCCCCCTTCATCCCATTCCAGCTCCACACTGGGAACAGAAACCTGCAAATAAGTCCTTGTATGTATTGATCTGAAACCTGAAAATGAGTCTTTGTATGGACTTCAATTTCAGGGATGCAACTGCTTTCCACTCTCTGACAGGGTGAGATAGAAGAGAAAAGACCAAAGAAGCTAGACTCCTATTCCAAGGAATAAGTTCAAAAAAGAGCTACTATTGCAGTAATCACCACAAGTACCTAGAGGCTATAGTCAGGGTTGGAAGGATGCTCCTTTGATGTTTTCCTAAAATAAATACAAACATTTTTCACTCTTTTAAGCTGAGTCAACAAAAGAGCAGCTAACTGCTCTGTTAGCTAAAATATCCCCAGCACTACTTTGGTCACTTTTTCTTCTGCCATGGCTTAAATTGCAGGTTAAATATTATCTTCATTTGTTCTCTTAGATATTGACTGGAAATTAGAGGCCAGAGGAGAGAAGGGAAGCAAACCCCATGGCTTTAAAAGGGACAAGAATTTGGTTCCTGTTGACTTGTCTTCAGTCCTCTCCTGGCAGCAACCTCAATACTTGCATTTTTCATTGCTCAAAGTGGAGTAAACAAGCAGCATGCCCTGACAGGAGGCTTCTCAGACTGGACAGCCATGTCCTGCACATCACCCCCTTGCCTGGTGACAGCCACACTTGTCTGACACTTCGTGCTGGTGACTCCTGTGCTACATTGCCAAGTCCTGTTGGCTTTCCTGAATTTTGACTGAGAACCCTGAGATGCTTCAATCCAGCAGCCAGCTGTCATCAATAACAACTGCATTTACCATTATTAAAATTAGCTTGTTTTCTTCAAGGTAACACTTGTCTATGTGTTTCTGTTCATGAGACTAACAACACAATTGACTTTTATTTTGTCCACATCTGTATATTTACACGGCTGCTGAAGCCCCTGTGAGCTGGGTGATTTATAAGCGCTTTGTGTCACTTGTCTGTCCCACTCAGTGGGAAACTATAACCTAACCCTGTCCCTAATGGCATTAAAAGGTCCAATTAATCAAAAAAAGGGGTCAGTTAATATTCTCCACACGTAAGTGCTGAACATCAGAATAATTTGCTCTCTTGTGGTTGGCATCCCATCATTTTGTGGTTTAGTTAAAAAGGAAATTGGCAGGACAGCCACAAGTGTACACCATGGGATTGCTCCACGGATTTGGGGCAGCTGTTATATCTCCTGCAGAGAAATGTTTTCTCTGCTGAAAGAGTTTTTTAAAATAAATAGACAAGTTAGTAGGGAGTAAAATTTTCTTTTTGTGGTTTGAGAAACTTTCTTTCTTTTTACTTCAAAGACTTAAGTGGCACAAGGGAATCCCCTAGCAGCCATAGGCCCTGGGAATTAAATTTTCTCCATCTGTTCCCTAGTCCCTGAGCAACATAGCACAAATCCTACTACCATATATCTCTTTAAGCAGCCTCCTGTGGAAAGAGAGAAGCTTGATTAGTGCATGTGCATATGATTGCCTGCCCACATTTAGGAAACTGGCCACTAAGAGAAATGTTGGCTCAATACTCATTACCATCCTGAAGTTCTCTGCACTGTATACATGACAAGGTAATATTTCCACTGCAGGAGGCAATGTGGGAAACAAGGGCTGAAATAGTCTTACCTGAAACCAAATCAATTAATTTGCTCTACAGTTCTCAAAAAGGTCCTTCTCTTAATAAAAGGCTGACCAGGCTTCAGGCTCTTGTGTTTGACCAGTGCTCTACAGATGACCTGGGACAGTCTCATCTATTTGTGTGTTTTCTGTCTGAAGCTGCCATGAACTTAGGGCAGGTTTACATCCCAGGCTGTTTTGTCTATGTCTAAATGCTAATGTTTCATTTTGTTTAACAAGCCACTGGTGTTTTTCTGGAGCTGAGACCTTTCTGTAACACTCAGTTTCAAGAGGTCTGGCCTTGCTTATGGCTGAATATGGGTAATTTTGTGTCTGACTGAGACCATTTGGTACAGTGGTGGTTTAATTTTAAGATTTTTGGTACTTGTTTAGAAAAAGCTTTTGGGATATGCCTGCATCCTCTGTTCCTTATTCACTCAGCTGCTCTTTCTCATTCACCTTTGAATTCCCAATAATGTGATCCATGTGTGTAGACTATGTTTTATGGATGAAACGGATTGGCAAATTAAGCTACCTGGCTATGGAATTTAATTCCTTGAAGTGCAGTTCTGTGTCTGTCATTCCAGTGCAGAAAGGGGAAATTTATAACAGACATTAATAGATTTGAGATATTGCAGGGCAGATATTTTTTTTATAAGAGGTGCCCTAATAATGAAGAGTTTCAAAAAGACCATTTTTGCAGAATTCATGATTGTTGTCTGGACACAGCTCAGCCTAACATTTGTTTAATAGTTTGGGGTTCTTTTAGGGATATGGCCAAAAAATAAAAAATGAACACCATTAAAAATTTAGAAATTGAGGATCTGAAGTTGTTTGCACAAAAGTTTTCAAAGGGCTTAATTTGTGAATTTTTAAATCAGTAAATATCTTTAATTTTGATCAAGAATGGGATTGTCAAATGTTATAAACTAGTTATAATAATTTTCATATGCAACTGTCTCTACACCAAAATAAAAAAAAATACTTCTATTTTATTACACCAATTTTTATTTTAAAAGCTAATTTAAAATTAAAACAGTGTGGTATTCTAATCAATGCAACATATGTATGGCTATTTTCAGGTAAATCCTGAAAATAGCTTAAAAATAACCAAAATGCCAATGGTTCTAATTATACACTACTATCGTCTACAAGCTATTTAGCAGATATATGGCTGGACAACTTTCTGTCAGAGGGATATTGAGAGTGGAGAAGGTGGAGACCTTATTGCAGTCTGCAGCTTCCTCAGGAGGGGATCCAGAGGGACAGGCACTGATGTCTCCTCTGGTGACCAATGTAGGGGCCCAAGGGAATGTCCTGAAGCTGTGCCAGGGAGGTTTAGGCTGGATATTAAGAAAAGATTCTTCACCCAGAGGGAAGCTGGGCACTGGAACAGGGTCCCAAGGGCAGTGGTCACAGCCCAAGCCTGACAGAGCTCAAGAAGCATTTAAACAATGCTCTGAGGCGCGTAGTGTGCTTCTTGGGATGTCTTGTGCAGAGCCAGGAGTTGGACTTTAATAATCTTTGCGTGTTCCCTCCAACTCAGCATATTCTGTATTTTATGATTCCATTCAATTTTTCTGTCTTGTTTTTGGGTCTGTTACTTAATGACAATCTAGCAACCTTTTCCTGAGTGAAAACCAACATATCCATGCTCATCATAACTAGCAGCAGAGCCATAGTGTCTCCGTAGTGTCTTTGGTGTCTAAGAGCTGAAAGCAGCCCACTGTGCTAAACACTATACAAACACTGCACAGGTGCAAATGTAGCTTTAGAAGGAGCGTCCTCACATTCAAGCGAGTTAAGATCTGGACACTGGCAACAATAAAATGGCTAAACCATCATCAGACTCTCTCCTTTTCTGAGAAAGTGAACATCAGTGTCTCAAAGATTCATTGTGACTCAGCTGTCCAGTTCTACAGTGCCCGAGAGGCAACACTGGGCCTCACCCAGGTCATTGGTGGCAGCTCTACTGGCCTTGAAATCATCAATAAAATTATATTAATTCCTTATAAAACTAGCTGTTTCTTGATTTTCCAGCCTCTTTCCCTAAAAATTTTCAATGAGTTTGTAAGAGAAGATGGCAATAAAAAATACTTGGATGGATTGTTCTAGTAATAGCTTGTAATATATTTAATGATTCTTTTCATTTACTGAATAGCATTTAAGGTAAAATCTCATTCCAGACTCACATTGTTCTGCTCTTAGTGCTGTTTCTACTTTACAGCAACTTCTTCTTGTAACAAGATCTATTTTATGAGGGTGGCTTCATAAAGGAGTTATGTTTTCATTTGCAGTTTGTTAAATTATGGCAGTTTCTGTATCTAACTGCTAAGGAATGGGAGCCTTTTATTTGGCTACAGTTTTAGATAAATACATTATTTATAAAAATAACCATTTCTCCTTATAATGTACCAGGAAATAGTTTGCATAATCCCCAACTTCTTGCAGAAATCCAAACATGATTCATTTCCTTTTTACAGGTTTTGATGGAATAAGATCATAAGAAAGCTGATTCAAAATACACCCTCTGAGGCCAAACTTGACCTCTTCTCAAACACTTCTGCTCGGCTCAAAGAGGCTGATCCACAGGGACTGATGTCAAAGGAAGGTGCTCAGGGTCCAGGGCCTGGGATGCTGAATATGGCACTTTTTCAAGGTGAAACAGCAACACAGAAGGAAGATATTTTTAAAGTAAAAGTACTTGCCTGATTCTCCTGTCACTGCTCAATGACATGCATTTATGTATACTATTTAAAGCTGTGTTAAATGCAAAAATATGTGTAGTCTGTGACACTCAGCTCAATAGATATTAAAAGATCCCGGTCTGTGGTAGTCATTTAACTTGCTCTTTAAGACTTTTGCAACTGTTTCACATTTTCTGTGCCTTTTTAGTATGTGAGATGAAAGCTGGATTGTGGCGATAGCTCAGAGAGCTATCCTTTTTTTCTCTTCCCCTTCTCCTTCCTCCCCCCTCACCTTCCTCTGCCCCTTATCCCTTCTCTCCACTTCCCTTCTCTTCCCACTTTTTAAAAGGAAGGAGGACTGGTTATTTTCATTATTATTTTATACCAACACTGAGTTGAAAACATTTGTAGTTGTTTAAGTACTTAAGGAGGATCTGCTTCTTACCTCCGGGTAAGACAGTAAATTCTTCCATGTGTTGACTTCATCTGTTATCCCTACCCATTTTCCACATGCCTGAGGGATATTTACTCAGACAGACTCTCTCTGTACTGGAGAAATCTCCGGCGAAGGTCAGCCAGACAAGCAGCACTTACTCAGGAGCGATGTGATGGGTGTGTATGTGTGAACGGCAGGTCAGTGACACGGGCTGGGGAAAGAAAGTGGGAGCAGCCCTTTCCTCTTCAGCTCCCTCACGAAAGTAACCCTGGCTTCAGAACTGAAGAGCCTCCCCTGCTCTGCCATCTGCACTCCAAGCAGCCCTGAGAGTGAGGTCCTCCTCAAAACCTGATTCAAGGTCTTCGTTCTCCAAACCTTTGAAACCCTAGTTTTTGCTAATTGAAAGAGTAAAAGCTGGGCCAAATCATGCAATGGGGGATGAGATATCTGGTGTGTTCACTCAAATGCTCTGGTGCAGACCAGAGTTTGGCATCCAGTAAGGGGTCTACAGACTGAGGACTCCTGGGGCTTGCATCTGTATTTCAATTCTCTCCTGATGTTCTGCCTTTTCCTCCCTGAGCCAGACGTCAAATTCAGCTGGCAGGTGAACATGAGTCCCTACAAAATGGCATGTGATATGTACAGTCACAAGGTGGGGGGCAAGGTGCAAAGGTGAACATAAGAGTTTGTTTTTACGGGGAGGAGGGAACCTGACATAAGGAGAATTTGCGCAAATTGCGTAAGTCACTTTGAACAAATGAGATTTGCCTTTCCCTGTGACCTCTGAGTGCTAGGAAAGCTCTCCCTAACCACAAAGCTCAATATTCAAATGTCAGTCCTTCCCTTACAACTAATTCCACTTAACAGGGTTATATATGTGAATAGCCTCACTGGGATCAAAGGAGTTACTTACCTGCATGCAGTGTCAGGCACACACATTTGCAGGATCAGGCCCTCCAGGCACACAGCAGCTTTCATTGCCCTGCGTGTTGCTCAGGCACAATCTGATGTCAATTAAGGAAAGTGAAGAGAAGCATATGCTTACATGGCAAGAGTGCTGCAGAATGTTTTAAAGTGTGAAAGGTTTAAATCACACCAAGGCTATAAAAATCAGCTTTGTTTATGGACTTGTGCAGAGACCTATTGTACTTTGTATCGATCAATCCATTGAACACCTGGTTCAAAATGTTCAATTGAAAGCTGGGGAAAAGTGCTAAATTGAACAATCTAAGTAACCTGTGAACCTGACAGTCATAAATCAATGGAGATGTTACACACAGTTAACCCTAACCAGTTAGCAAGTTGTACCAATTATTCACTTTGTTACCTGGTTAGGAGCTAGTTCACCGTTTCAGAATTGTACTAATACAGTAAACATTTGTTCTGAGTGACCCTCAGTAAACAGTACCAGGTTCATTGAAGACTTTCTCCCCTGCATCTAGGCCAGAAAAACCTTGCCTGAATATCAGCTTGGAAAAAAGGACATTTGAAATGAAGAGACAAGTTTACAAAAACTGCTAAATTTGGGGGGCTTAAAAAGTGTGACTACAAAAGATCTGCTTTTCAAATATGCTTTATTCTGTGCGAAGGTTATTCACACCTGTATGGGCTCTGACAGAAACTGACTTTTCTGATGCTAGTGCTGTTTTTGTTCACAGGTTCTTTGCAGACTTTGAAGGACTTCGATTTGCTGGCCCACCTTGTCTTTTATATGCCTGGCAACATTTGCCTTATTTTTTACTTCCTAAGGCAGTAAATATGCTGAATTTTTCAGGAAGGCTTATGAGAACTTCTTGTTTCTGCTAAACCATTTTGCTTAGGGTGAATTAAAACACACTACAACAAATTGCATACACACCCCTAGCCCCCTATTAGATTTTACATTACTTTATCATTTCAGCTCAGACTAAAAGGGCTTCAATCACCTGGGTTACACATGTGACTTAAAAAAATAAAACTGGTGAGATATTTGCACTTTTTTTTCCCTGTCCTTCTTGGGACATCTCAGACTTAGGAAAAAGCAGTATCCATGGTTTGGAATTTTCTTCAGCCAGCTTTTTTAAATCTCTTGGGTTGTAAATCCTGCAGGTCTACTGATTTAAATTGCTATTTAACATTCTCCTGATTTACTGGAATGAGCAGCAGTGCATTGTCCTCTTATAGGAGAACTGATTTTGTCTGTTTTTTCTTCCAAGAGAGATCAGATTTATTTACACAATATACAAATTTTTGCATATATTATTAAGATGGCTACAGTTGTGTGTAGTCAAGACCACAAATCTTTCTTGTTATCCTTAACTCTGATGAAAAACCTTACTTCTTGCTTCCATCCTTATCAATTTTCTGTAGTTCTTATCTCCTGTCTAATTCATATTCTAATAAATGCTTTTTTTTTTTTTGGTGTAATTATTTTGATTTACATAGCTGTTTCACTTTTATGCAAGTCAACATTTAGTCCAGCTTTTGCTCTTTTTTTTAAACCTCTGGTAAAATGTTTTTAAACACTTTCCAGTTATTATCCACATTTCCTGTCTAATTTCTTTCTCCCAAATGATTTAGCTCATAATTGTTTTCAGCTTTGCAAAATTGGCTCTTGCAATCCATCAAATATACATATTACTGCTCCAGACTTAATTCTGATTGTATATAACAAACAGAAGCAAATCATGATCACTTTTATCTAAACTACCGCTGATTCCTTAAGTCTATATCTATGATATTTTATTTTCATCTATAAGGATAAAATAATGTGATACAGCTTTCCAAAATTGTTGGATGCAGCACTTTTTAAGGAACTTATAATTTATGGCTTATTCCAGGGATATATTAATTTGGTGGCATGAAAACTCCAAACCATGCTATTCATATTGAAGTGCTGACACTGCATGGTTTATTTTTCTTCTTGTTTTATGGATACTTACTTAGGGTGATAGTTCTTCCCTCTTCTTCTGATAATTACTTGTAGAAGGCATTAATAACACACAAAAACCCCATATTTTTTGTACCTCTTTCGTAACAGACCAAGCTACAGACTAAGAATTACTTATGTCTTTGAGCCTATTTCTTCTGCCCTATTTTCATGACTAAATGGAATTCAGAAGGAGAGAACTAGCTCTCCAAAGAATCTTTCCCAAGGAAAATGAATGGATAACAAGTGGAATGTGTTTAACAGTTCCACCCCAACTGATATTTTAAAAAGGGCAGAGTGCCTGACTCATCTTTCCATGCTTTCTTGTTGCTCTCACCATCAACAAATTGCCAGATGGTAAGGTGGATTAGAGAGTCAGGCTTCAGTGTCACTTGTACCCTAGAATCCAGGAAACTGGTTCTTGAGTGGGAGACACTGCTAATTTTGGTGGTTCTAGGATCTGATGCTGTATTGTTACTGTTAACAGAAAAAGTTAGAAATGACAGCCAGCTTTCTGGCTTGAGATAGGCAAGATGATTTCATTTGGAGTTGTTTCCTGCTAGGGCTTTTTTAGAACACTCTGAAGCTACCTCACTTATGATTCTGTTCATCCTTGGTTTGTTTATGTTAAACATTTAAAACACACTAGTATATATTTAAATTTGAAACCTTATAATGTATTTTTTTTGCAGTTATGAGTTCATCTTTCAAATTACATCAATGTTCAACAGAGTTAGTAATTTTAGTCAGTGTTTCTCTTCAAAATCATCTGTTTTTCATAAAATGACCTTTTTTCTTCAGGACTGTCATTATAATTAATAACAATAAAAATCTATTTTTCTGTGGCCTCTAAATACTCAGTCAAATGCATTTCTTGGAGAATGGAGATTTGTGAAATTACTTTTTTGATGAAAAATGTAGGCTCTCCAGCGCCAAACGTTTCATGAACACGTCAGTATATATGACCCCAGTGCTTTTGCCACATTTTATTTTTATTTCTTTCAAAACTGAACATAAACTGTCCTGCTCCTTCCAAAATAACAAAATATTCATCTGTTTGAAGAAAACTCTTCTCCCTGAAAATATTTCCTACCATCTCTTCCATTAGAAAACTAGTGTGCTCAGCATTGCCAACTGGATTAACTAATGAGATAGTAAAGTGACACTCTCCTGCTTTCACAAGCATCTGGCCAAGTGAGAGCTGGGCAGACTAGCAATGATTTCTGTGGTGGCAATATTGTTGTGTCAGTGGGCATGGAGTGATGGACCAGTGGAAGGTGAAAAGATAAAACAGAGAGTGTCAGGTGACAGCCACATGGAACTTGTAGGCAATTTGGCCTGAAAAGCTTTGATGACCCTCACTGTACTCAGTGAGGCTGTGCTCCAAAGGGAGGGTGAGAATTTCACACACACTGCCTTCCTCATATCAAAGGATTGCAATGGATTTTAAAAGCTGAGGTGATAGCACGGTTAAGGGTGTCACAGTGAGGGGCTGCCCTCTGTGCTCAAAGAGGTTTGTAGGAAGCCCTGGGCTGTAGCTGCTTGAGCAAGGAAATGTATTCATTCACTGCAAAATGGTGATGATTAAACTGCAGTTTTAGATGTAGGGCTTCCTCTGGTGATGCAAGAAATCCCACTAAGTGGATGACAGAGACTGGCCAGTGGATCAGGAAGGTTCATAGTAATGGTCTTTCTGTGGGACAGATCACTGAACACTGCCTTTTACATCATCCACACTTTTGTAGGGTTAAAAACCTATGGCTCAAATTTTAGCAGAGCAGCCCAAATGAATTTATAAGGATTATTTCCAGTTCAAACTTTGCATGATCCTTCTCCTGTGAATGTTTGCCTATCCCCCTGTAGCAGCACAAGCTGTGGAAAGATATGAAGTTCTGGCAGATCACACGAGGAATAATGGCAGAGTGTAGGAGGGCAGGGCCCCAAGGTCACCCTTCCTGCACTCATCCCTCCCCTTGTATGAGATTGCTGGTTATGCTGCTCACATACCAAATCAAAACTTGTTAATCCTCAGAAAACATGCTAATACAGTGGGAGATTATCAGATGCATTGGGTGTGGGTGAGATGGAGGTAATTTCCCCAACAGCAACCCTCAGAGTTCTGTGCTTTGTATTGGTAGCTAGAAAGGTGTTGAGAATAGAAACTAGCGCTTTGGCTCACACAGCATCAAGTCTGTCCAACAGACAGCATCAATTCTATTCAGCTTCTTTTAAGAAAAAGTTTTTTACAGAAAGGGTGATAAAGTACTGAAATCATCTGCCCTGGGAGAGGGTGGAGTCACCATACCTGGATGTGTTTCAAAAGAGATTGGATGTGGCACTCAGTGCCATGGTTTAGATGAGGTGTTAGGGCATGGGTTGGACTTGAAGATCTTAAGGGTCTCTTCCAGCCTAGTGATTCTGTGATTCAGTGGCTCTGCAGTTCTGTGATTCTGTGAACATTCTTCTCTGACCAGTAGGTTGAGGGTGGGAAAGATTTTAGGAAGGGACACAGCCAGGACAGCTGAGTCAAGCCGACCAGAGGGGTATATCATACCATGTGATGCCTGCTCAGCAATAAAAGCTAAGAGAAAAGATGAGAGGGAGCATTTGTTATTACCCTTGTCTTCCAAAGAAAACACTATGCATACTGAAGTCCTGCTTCCCAGGAAGTGATTGGTCATTGTCTGCTCATGGCAAATAGAGAATAAATATTTTGTTTTCCTTTGCTTCCACATATAGTGTTTGTTTTGTTAAAGTGGCTTTGTCTTGATCCATGAGGTTATTTTTCATCTTATTTTCTTTTCCCCCATCCTGTTGACAAGGGGAGTGATAGAGTGGCTTGGTGGGCCCCTGACATCTAACCAGGGTCAGCCCATCACACCAGACATGCTAAATACAGTCATGAGGTATGGATTGGGTCAGTGCAACTAAGCATTAACCAAATCACCTTCCAATCACTAACCTTGCTGGCTGATATCTAATTTACTTGTTTCACTTGCCATTGGATTTAGGACAGGAAGCGATAGAGAGCACTGTAAAATCAGATAATAATGTGATTTGAAAATGCAAAAGATATTCCATAAATAATCTGACTTGTGTAAGAGTCACTCTTGCTATGGGAATTAATTAACAATCAAGTCATGTCTGTGCTCCTTCCTGGTGGCTGCAGTAATCTTTTTGCTTGGTCCAAAGAGCTGAACCTAAATAAGATTGCAACTAAGTGTATGGTGTGAAGGAGGATTTGGCATTTGGGAAAACAAATTTAAATCAGCCCCAGAGTATCACTGTTAAGTTTTCCCTTTGCAAATGCTGTCACAGTTGGCAAAAAGGAATCAAGAGACATATTTACAATTTAAATGCAAGTTTGGTCATCGAGGACATTTTTTTCAGGTTGATGTGGATCAAATATGTCCACTGGGTTACAATGCTGAGACCACCCAAGCTTTTACTAGTGCTGTTGTTTACATAAAGAATTAGAAACAAGTTTCTCGCCAATTAGAAAGCCAATATCTAACAAGACACTAACTTCTTATATACCCTATAGTCTAAATGTTAATAGCTTTGACCTCCTTCAGTTTAATCTTAATCTCTTTGACAGAGCAAGTGGACTTGGGGTTATATTTTACCAAATTGTTCCCTTTGTTTTCTTTCCCTTCCTCATATTTCCAACAGTGACTATGTCACATATTGCAGACCCAAATGAAAGGCTGTCTTCTTTTTCAATCAGTCATATCACTAAGTATATGAGCAGGAAAACCCTTGTGATTGACACTGCTTCAACAAAAGCAGACTCCGTTTGCAGACGATAAGAGGCAATGTCATACAAGCAGTGTTTACAAAGCAGTGAAGGAGAGAAAAAAAATTAATGATAAAAGGACTAATCTTATTGTTTTACTAGATGAGAGAAT